CGGCGCTGGGCGGGAGCGGCACCGGCGCGGCCGCGCCGCCCTCACAGCCCCCAGCGCATCCCGGTGATCCGCAGCCTCTGGATCGCTCTGCTCTCACCGGATCCTGGTGGTACACAGCCACTGGACTACCCTGCACTTATCCCGCTGGGAGATCTGCGCTATAGCGGAGAACTGACGCGGGGAGCTCGTCCCGGCGCGGGACATTACCTCACAGCTGACGCTGTTCCATCGCCCCCTCTGGGCAGGAAAAACTCCCAATGCCAAGAGAGATGGAAAGGAATGAAGCACCTTGAGGCACAGGTTTCACGGTGGTCACTTGACTCAAGTACACTACAGGTACTTTTGCTAGACGTCTTTATAGTAAATAAATACAAACAAACGTACATCCTAGTCCCTGAGGAGGAAATATGCTGCTTTTTGTCCCACTTTAACAGGCTCCCGATAAAGTTTGCTCTGAGGCACTGGGCAGACCCTGCACGAAAGCACCCTCCAAGTCATTCCATTCCTTTAGCCAGGCAGACCAAGTGTTGAAGGGAGTTGTAACCTGGCAATTACTCTCAGATACTTAAATCAACTTACTATTACCATTGAGAGGTATGATGGGTTTGTCTTTACAAACAAGCTGTGAGTCTGCTGATAAGATGCAGCTATCAGTGAGAGACAACAGAAACAATGGGATGGATTCCACTAAAAGATCAAAGAGACACTGAAAGAGTATCATGAATTCCACAAAAGTTAAGAATTAAGAAGGGATTATGCGTGGGTGGGGGGAAGGTATCCCAGGTATCAGGTGTTCCGGGAAGCCTGTACCTCTCAAGTACCTCAGCCTATGGGGAAAGGGAGAAGGGACAAGCAGCCGGGAATTAGGATAAAAAGGAGGCTGCGCCCTCCAAAATTTTGAGAGACCCCAGGGGAATGCCCCCTGGCCTCTCCCTTTATTCGAATAAAGTAAAAGGACTCCTCTGTCTCCTTTTTGGACATAAACCTCTGGTGTTTGTGAATTAATTTTCCTGACACCATCTTGGTCCCTCTCCCAGCTAAGGAGTTGAAAAATTCCCCTTTCTGCTAGAACTTTTTTCCCATGCACAGATGTTTTGCCAAGGCAGAGTTTACTGAGAGTGGTATATCCTGGGAACCCAGACACCTGAACTAATCCTGCCTGCAGGCACCACCCTGTGGGTTTCCCTCAGGGACCAAACTGAAGCAAGTAATTTAAAATGTGTTTTCCAGCTCTTGGCTCCCGTGACACTGTGCAGACAATCCCTGTGAGAGCTACTGCTGGGGGAAACCACAGCCCTGGCCAGACACAGGATGCAACAGCAAAGATCTCATCTGTCACCCACAGGCTGCAGAGTTTCAGCTGGACTTGGCTTGTACTCGTGCTTTGTGCTCCTCTTCTTTGTGGAGCTGGCACTCACAGTGTCATTTCAAGGAAAGCGAAATACTCACGAAACAGTAGGAATTTGCAGTAGGAATTGCAATGCTCCTTCTTTGACTGGCATGAGGGTCATGTTTCATGATTTATTTCTGTACCAGAGACCAAGGTTATATTTAAAGTGCCCTTTGTATGCTTGCTGGGGATGGGGAAGGCAGATGAGCAGACACAGATCTCAGAAGAACTGCTGATTTCAGAGCTGGTCCTGATGATGAGCAGAAAGACACAGATGTAATTTTGTCAGTGAGCAATGCATTTACAGATATATTGCATTTCCAATGGAGCAGGTGATGACTGCCCTGTGCAGACACAGACACAAGGAAATAGCTCTGTGGGGAGACAGATTTTTGCCCATGCAAAGATTTGAGGAAAGGGCATTAGAATAACTTTGCAGCTTACCTGCCATCTCATCCCCAGCTTTTGCTGTTGCCCAAGATGTCAATGAGCATTTTGGTATGAAGGGACATGATGAAAAGCCACTGTGGTCCTGCATTTGTTAATTCTGTGTCATGGTTTAACCTCAGCCAGCACTTCAGTCCCACAAGGCTCCTCACTCACTCCTCTTCCCTGGTTAAAGGGGAGAGAATCATAAAAGTGAGAAAACTCATAGGTTAAGAGAAAGACAGTTTAATAGGTAAAGCAAAAGCTCCACACGCAAGCAAAGGGAAATGAGGAATTCAGTCACTGCTTCCCATGGGCAGGTGTTCAGTGACCCCCCAGGAGAGCAGGTGACTTGGGAGGACAAACACCATCACTCTGAATGTCCTTCCCTTCTGCCTTTTTCCCTCACCTTTACATGCTGAGTGTGACTCCATATGCTATGGGATATTGCTTGGGTCATTTGGAATCGCCTGTCCTGGCTGTGTCCACTCCCAACTCCTTATGCACCCCCAGCCCCCTCATTGCTGAGGTGGGGTGAGAAAAGGCTTGGCTCTGTGTAAGCCCTGTCAGCAATAACAAAAGCATCCCTGTGTTATAAACACTATTTCCAGCACAAACCCAAAACACAGCTCATGCCAGCTATTGTGAAGAAAAGTAACTCTACTCCAGCCAAAAGCAGCACAGCCTGGTTCTGTGAGAGGCCTCAGTTATTAAAAAGGAGATACAAGGAAGTTCCCTAACCACAATGTCCTAACCAATCCATTTTCTTTAGCACCCAAGAGAGACACAATCAAAAGCCCACATCTTTACCCAGCAATCCTGCAAATGAAACCAAATGGGTTTTATTTATTTACTTCAAAATCTTCTTAGCAATATATTCATGCCAGATAAACACCTGCACAGCTTGAAAGACAGATTTTCTTGGTGTCAGGCAATTAAACTTTTATCAAGGTACAAATTGAAACACCAGGTTACAAATCATTGTCATCAAACATTGCTGGAGGTTATGTTTGCCTGATTCTTTACAACAGCTTACTAACCATATCTTTCTGGAATATACTCTTTTAGATTTGTCAGAGAGTAATGCAGAACTTGAATTCAGGTATATGTATGAGCCTTAAAATATTGGAAATAACATTGTGAACCTTTGTTAAAGCTGTTTGTGCCTTCATTCATTGGCTGTTATATTCACTTGAACCCATGTCATGTTATTATGGAGAGTATGAACAGATATAAAGCTGTCAGATGTGTCACAGCTAACTGTGTTGGACTCCAAAGAGCCTGAGGGTCTGTCCTGTCAGCTGGATTGTGCACCTGTAACTGATACCCACCTCCCCAGTTTATGCATGCTGGGAGGTTGCCCAACAAGGAGCTGGGCCATCTGTCAGCTCGCTGATTTCTGACTGTCACAGACTGAGGTCTGTGAAATTTGACTGTACTGCACTACACAATTACTTAAGTGCATTACCTGCCCTATGAGACAAATCAAATTTGCTGCTGCTGCTGTGCACTGTGTTGTACTAGGTACTGTGCCTTTCCTTTATTCCAGCCTTACAGCATCAAAGCTTTCATTGAAAGATGTAAAATGGAAAGCAACAAACTGTCTGCATTAAGTGACATTTTACTGTGCAGGTCGTGCTGGATGGAGTCCTGTTTATCTCCTCTTTGTTGCTCAAAGTCAGATCTTTTAGAAATGAGAATATTTTGCATGGCTTTATCAAGCATTTTGAATGTAGTTCATGCAAAGGTCAAGTGTTCCTATGAGGTCAATAAGTGATAAGCAATGCTTAATAACCATTTAAAATGCATCAGCCAAAAGACAATCTAAAAGTGCTGCTTTTCCAAAGGCTCATGCAGAATTCAGAACATGCTGAACTCAGAAACAACAGGTACATCACGACTGTTATGGGAAGTGGAGGCCAAGCAAAAAGAACAAGGTGCCTGTGGAGAAGAAGAGGTCTAAATCTTGCAGGAACAGCAGCCAACTCCACTCACCTTTCACAGGATATCAATGCTGACCCTAACAGCTGGCTGTCGCTCTATTAGGAACAGCGAGGAGAGAACGACACAGACTCTCATGGAGTCAGAACAGGAGAATTCCTTAGTTTATTGCTTCAGCCTTGTTTTATAGACCGGTTCGTGGAAAGTACAGAAAGGAAACTCTTATTGGTTAGTAAACTGCTACATCACCATCATTGGTCAGAGGTGAACAACACCCTCTGATTTTCTCTTGAAAAGAAAACAAGGGGCAGACAAACAGCACCTGGCAAGGCTGTTTTCTGCCTCTAAGAATCGTTTTGATTCCTCCCTAAAACTTCCCAGGCTACTGTTGCTATCCAGCTCCCCGATGGGACCCCTCTGTCCCACCCCCTGTGGAGCCTGCTCGTCTCTGGGCACAGGCGGCGGAGGGGGTCCTGGAGTGGATACAACATGGACTCAAAGTATCTAGACACAGGAGGCTCAAACTTGCTGGAATAATCCCGGGTTTATTGTCTGTCGTCCATCCGGGGCAAGAGAGAGAGCGAAATGCTCTGGGTCTTATCTCTTATACCAGGGGGCAGGGGTGATTAGGGGATGCAGGGAGGTCACAGCCAATGGGAAGGGGGGGGAGGGAAAGAAGGTTTTCAGGTAGGAACTAACATTACACAAACCAAAGGTGAGTTTTACCCTTGGGAGGTACCAAGATTTCTAGATGCACTACAACAGGCTACTTTCTCAGGCTGGACTTGAGAAAAGTATGCGGCCTGCAGTTTCTGCAGGCTCCCTGCAGCCTGCTCCAAAGCTAGCATCCACAGCTGGCCTTGACTCCCCTAAAATAAAGCACAGGGCCTGTGTCTCTCCATGTCTCCTGTGTGCCAGAGTGCTGCTTTTCAGTCCCTGCAGTGGTATCTTGGAGAACAGCTGGGGCTCCTCAGCTGCCCAGAGTCTGCTTACAGACACTGCATGTGGAAGGATCCTCCACTCCAGCTCTGCAGTTTGGGCCCAGATGTAAAGCAGCATTTTGGAAAAGATGGGCTCTAGCATCTCATTGGTTGTTCACGCTATGATTTAGGTTAACAGCTGTTAGTACAGAAGCAGCACGTACACGTTTTTGTTTGTTACAAGGGCGTTTAAAACCAGACCTTGTAAATCTGCAGTGGTGTTGGCAACACACTGTGCTCTCTGCAAGGGAGAGCTCAGGCCAGCCATAGCTGGAGCATGATAGGGAGGAAGGGAATGGGGCCAGAGAAGGGAGAGATTCAGTAAGTTAGATGTGCTCTCACAAAGCATTTTTCTGGCTCTGTGCTACAGGAAAAATTTTTCTTCTTTGTGGCACCAAGCATGAAACGTGGTTTTGCTTATTTCAATGCATGAATCAAAAAGCATTGGAAAACCAGTAATTTCACAGTGATGTAGAAAAAGATGAAAACTTATTCACAGGCTGGGAGCAACCTGAATCCCCAGTTGAGCGAAATGGAACATAATCATGCACACATGCAACTGTGCAAAGTGACTCACCTGAAAGGTAAAAGGCTGAACGGCTCTCAGGAGTTTCCAGAAGCAGAGACTGAAGGCACATGGAGATGGGACCCATGAGAACCTGTGAGGGAATACTTCTGTTTAATGAAGTTTTCCCAACTGATGATGGGATAACCTTATAGTGTTTTCATTCAGGACTATAGCTGGGCCAGGCTTGCCCAGAATTAGAATACAGTAGATGAATCAGAATATTGTTGGGGTTGATAGCAACTCAGGCAGAAGCCTCTGAGAAAATCCCTCATAGTTATGGAGAGGAGACTATTATCCACAGTGCCCCCTGTTCAGTTTTATGTAAACATTACCAGAAAGTTCTTTGTTTCCCCTGCTATTGTTGGTTCATGTTTGGTGCAATGTTTTACATATTCGTAATCACCCTTTCCTGTTGGACCCTTACCCTCAGATTCCATCCCAATCTATTAGTTTATACAAGTTACTGTATCCCCTTGACCCTTGTTTTTTTGGTGCACCTTTTATGCTATTTGGATTGTCTCTTTGGTTTTTTTTGTATTAAAGTCCATTATTTTTCAGGCCATGTCCTTCATTATCTCGCCACATCGTCCCCAGCTGGTCTAGTCTCAAGGTTGTGGGTCCTCCACTGTGACAGGATATGCCTACCTGCTAAAAAATTGCCATTCATTTATCTAGGTTCAAAAAACAGGTAAGCTCTGCCACCTCCTGTCACAAAAAAGCCAAGAATTCAGGCCATTCTTCATTTTTGTTTCATCAATATTTACTATAATTTCTTTCAAAGCAATTCTTTTCAAATCAGGCTTCTGAACTACCCTATAGTTGGTCTTGAAAACATTCAAATAACATTCCTAAATATCAGACTAGGTAGTTAATCCTGCTCAGGTGGATTAAGCACAGTGTGACATTTAACAGTGTAACCATCATACCTTCACCCTGTGAATGAAGCTAAATGCAAACATTACTTCTTTCCTCTCCCTGTATTGCGCTGTCCTGAGAACTAAGCAGGCTTTTCCTTCAAATACTGACAATTTATTTAATTCAATCAGCACAAATGTTGAGTTTTGAAATAATCAGAAATGGAAGAAGATGATGGTAGCAGATATTCTGCAAGTGCAGAATCACAGTACCCTAGATTCCCAGTGCCTGTAATGGGCCTGTACAGAAGGTAGATGGCAAAGCAGCTCAGATCACACACAGAACATGTTTCTACATGACTGTCTCATGTGAAAAACCAAGATTACATGCAGCTGAATCTTCTATTGAATGCTGGACATGATTTTGAATGCATCCATCTTCCTGTGGACCCAGTGCCATCCATGCTAAGTCAACATGAGGATTCTCCAAAATTTCCATATGCTTTGGCTACGACCTGCAAGTTCCCAGGCTCACTTGTAAACACAAGATTTCATGAAATTGTTTGCATTTCAAAATTATGTTTCATGATTTCATTTTGCATGTGGGCCCTGTTTTTTCTGGTTTTATACAAACATGTAATTTAGTTTGAATATTGCTTCAGTTTTGGTCTTACAGAAGTGGCATGACAACACTGAATGCTTATTATTCTACTCTTATTTGCTCTTAGGATAAAGTAGTAACCCTTCCAATAACAGCAGGCAGTGGTTGGATTAACAAGTGGTAAGCAAAGATGAGTAGGAAATAAAAACGGCTATTAAGTACAATAATGCCACAGACTGGGTCATGCGTGAGCTGTCTTCTGCTTGATTTCTACTTTAAGGAATTTGTGCTGATTTCTGCCTTCAAATCCATGAATAGAAGGTAGCAACTGCTTTCAGAAAGCACTCTCTTTTTCTGCATCAGTTCTAGAAAAGCCTGTCTCTTGAGAGTTCCAGAAAGCAAAGCATGGCCAAGCAAGAAGCTACTCCTACACATCAGGCTTACCTAAAGAAGCACAAGTATGAGAATCTCTTAAAGGATACTTGTCAGCAGTTATCTCACTTCACCAACCCTATTTTCCAAGCCTGCCCCGAGAGACCCCAGCACTGCTGAGGTATCTGATGAGGCTCCCACAGGACTGATGACAAACACCAGGCAATGCCCTCCATTAGGATCACTGTTTAGCACACTTCTCCTAAACACTTGTTTTCTTCAACATGCTCAGCTCCGTTCTGCTAAAGCTGCCTTAAATCCCAGATGTCCACGGCAAATAAGGAAGCCAATCCAAATCAGAATGAATACATAACTGGAAACTTTGGAGAAGGGCAGGAGATGTTCTTCTCTATGTTAATGATGCCTCCAGGATTCTCCATCATTAATGGCTTTACATTCCTATTTATCATAAATACTGATTATGGGGTTGAAAGATAAGTTATGTGATGCCCCAGACAGATGAGATATAAGACAAAAAAAAAAAAAAAACAAAAACCACCAAAAAACCCAACAAAAAACTAAGAGCTGTGCTTGCTATCACTTTTAAAGGGGAACCACAAGTCACAAGCATTGTCTTGCGGGGGAGAGGGGTGGCGAAGCGTGGATGAATGAGAAATAAACTCCCCATTCCTCCGGGCTGCTGGATAACGCAGCCAATGTGAGCACGGCCAGCTCCTCCACCCCTCGGGATGCCTACGCCAGCTCACCACCAAGAGGTGTGTCCTTGCTCGTCTGCGAAAAAGCCTGGCAGGGAGCGAGCTTCCCTCTGAGCTGCAGGACTGCTGGACAGTGAGGAACTGCGCATGACCTGGCAGTGTTGGAGACAACTATCTTTAATATTGCAAGGCTGATCCAAGTCCACCAGGATACTTAATAGCATGCGTCGATCTCTAAAGAGTTGGTTGCCAAGGAAACCGTTTAAAAGCCTGCTTTAAAATATTTGCTACATATTCAAAAGCCACAATCATTTCCTGCTGTCAAATTACAACAGCTCTTCACAGATCATTAGGAGTATTCTTTAATCATCAAGGCAAAAATAGTGGTTCTTCTCAGCAGGCAGATGAGTGAATTCTGATCTGAATCTTTATCTTCATAAAACCTAAGTTATGACACTGGAACAAAATCAGCTGTGCTACTGTGCAGCCATCCCAAAAATCAGATCTTTCAGTTGCATATTCCTAATACAAAGTTATCATGCAAAGTTATAATTTTGAAATATCACAACTTCTAACTTATAATACTTCTTAATAGACTTATATAATTATTTAAGTTGTAAAAGTTCAAGGAGAAATTCAATTTACACAGCTAACATGTTGTAATTGGAGAATGCCAAAGGCACAATGTGAAGGGCTAGGAACATTCTGTTCTAACTCACTTTTCCCTGCATTTAAGAAGACATATTCTTCACTAGGGGCACAAAAACTCAGCCAAAACATTTTTTTTCTGTTTCCAAATAAACTGCTTGAGTACTCCAAAGCCATTTAAAGTGTCAGGATAAGCAATTCAACAATTTTCTTTAACTTTCAGAAAACACAGTGTATTGGGTTAGTTAACTTTCTCATAATAGCCCTCAGTACTGTGGTTTGTATTTGTAGCTGGAGTGGTGTTGAAAACATAGCAGTGGTTTGGCTACTGCTGGGCAGTGCTGGCACTGCTCACTGAGGAGGGGAAGTAGCAGTGGCTCCACTTCACTCTTGATCTGACCTTCCCAGCAAAGTGTTTAGATACAGTTCCATCATAACCAGGACAGAAGCAAGCCATGTCATCTGAACTGAGAGGAATCCTGTGGGAGCAGATGTACATCTGACTCCCACCTTCCCTGTGAGTGAGAACTGGTTCAGAACCTGCAGTTTGATCTGGGCAGTCCTAGGAATGTGCTTAAGCTACATTCAGAATGCCCTCCTGTTTCAGGATGTCTTCTGTCTGTGTGTAAACCATGAGTCCCAAATGAAGTAGAAACTTATTGAGTAAGATAACCAGAGAAAACAAGATTACCGTGTCCCAAAGTCTGAGCACAGGTTTGTCACATAACCCATGAAAGTACAGAGCATGAACTTGAGAATTAAGTGTTACATGTCATTTGAGCAGTGTCAAAACCAATATTTTTTTATTTCTTGTTTCTAAACAGAATGCCTATTAGCTTGCTTAGTCATGTTTCAGTGTTAACACTGATTATTTATGTAAGGGCAATACCTGGCAAGAGTGCCAAAAAGCACATTTCCCTGGAAGAAGAAAGCTGCTTTTCACCCACATCCTGAGGACTGTATGCAGCCCTTGTCAGCAAGGAGAAGCATGGTTATTCCACCAGGGTTGGGGATAAGGGGGATGGTGAGGCAGGCAGGGACCTCCCTGACAGCTCCATGGCACCTGAAGGAGAGCCAGGCTAGCTGGGAACAGCAACAGGGGCCAGCTGCAGTCCAGGGACCACCATGACCATAGAGACCAGCCAGGTTGGAAGTCAAGACAGAGAATCCACCAGCCAGGGAAGCACAGGATCAGCAAGGTACAAGGCCAAGCATGGGCACACACACAGCATAGCTAAGGAAAGGGTCTGAACCTAAATTTGGCTCCTCATCCAAGGAAAAGAGATCCCCAATAAGCTTTCCTGCAGCTCTTTTCCTCATCACCAATGTCCATGCTGAGAGCTGGACTATCCAGAGCTGTCCATGAGCACAGGCAGCCAAATGGCCATGGCAGGGGTGGCCTATCCCAAAGCAGCTCACCTGATTTTGAAGTTTCTGAAGCACTTCGAAAAGTGCTGTGAGAAATTACAGCTGTTGCCAGTTTTTTGAAAGTTTGTGTTAAAATAATGGCACTTCACCACAGCCACAGGATGTCTTCTGCTCTCTTCTGACCTGATGGCGGACTTAGATGGTACAGACAGATAATTAGCCAGGAGGGCTACATGCTTTTCCATAAGGAAAAATTCTTCACTTATGAGGATGGAAAGCATGGCATAAAAGTAAATTCTCCAACCTTCAGTGTCATGTGCTGGTGAGAAGACCATGGTGTCCAGAACCAGCTTGCCCTGCATTTATAGCTTGGTTTGAGGTCTGATACATGGAGATTACAATAGGCATTTCTTTTTTCCCCTCCCAAGAATTCCAACTGCTGTGTGTTCAATTACAGTGCTGGGCAGGACAGCACATAGAAAACCAACCTGCTCCTACTCCTAGGAGCTTGGTTTGTTTTCCAGTCACACAAGACAGACACAGATTAAGGGTTTAGAATTTGAAGATGGAAGCATGCAGGAAAGAAAGATGAGTGAAAAAGGGAAGAGGCAGCAGGAGAGAAATAATCACAGAAAAATATGTGCAAATCATGAATGAAAAGGAGAAAAAATAAAGTAGAATAGGCAGCAATGGAGGGAAGGGTCAGGAATATGACGAAGCACCAAAAAGAGAGGCAGTAAGACAGAAGATAGAAAGAGAGAACTTTGCAGGAGCAGAAATTCCTTGTTAGGAGACCTGGAATCTAGAAAACTTAACTCATCCTTCGGGGAAAAAAAATATGTGAGGGGAAAGTCCAGATTGTTTGCAGGCAAAACCAAATATTGCATAGTAAAGTTCCTGCCTTTCCTGCTCCCGATTTTTTTTGCCTCCTGTCCTCCAAGTGCTATCAGAAGCCCCTCAAAGTACCAAATTCTCCACTGCAGCCCATTCTGCCTGCCCTGTGCCATGACCTGTTCCTCTGTGTGTCCTTGTCATTGTGCCCTGGCCTTGTCTTCAAGCCTTCTGCCTTCTCACAAAGCTATTCTAATGCTCACTGCCTCATTTTTTCCTGCTGCCTCTCCAGATGCCTCCTACTCGCCTTCCAAAGCCTTGTAAAGAGCAGTTCTACTGCACATAAGGGCTCAACATGAAACATTTATCATTTCCATGCTGGCCTTTCACTGCCAACTCAATGGGGCAGAAATTGTCTCCCAGCACTCATGCCTCCATATCATGTAGGACCCTGACACTTCTGGGAAGACCCCACTAGTGCTGCTCTGTAAATAGCAATAACTGTTTTACAGATAATATGCTGGTTTTTTTCTCAGTAATTCACTGTGTTAGCTTGGATACACTCCTGTATGAATCCTTTGTGTTCAGGACAACTGCTGCTCTCTGCTCAATGCCAGGAGACTTGGCAGGAGAGCTTTGTTTTTCCTGTCTCACTGAGGACAAACGGGAACCAGAGAACAACCTGCAGTTACCAATGACACCCTTGCTACTCCCAAAAGACTCTCAGGATCAAATTCCATTCTAAATGCTGAGTGGGACACCACACATCTGGAAACCAGAACAATCTGGTACGTGCTGCCATGCTCACCTAAGCCCTTGTTCCACAAGTAGAGCTGTACAGTGAGACGTCTGAAAGGTTTCTCTGTTGCTTTTCTGGCCAGAAGTAGCTGGGTTTTGCATCAACTGAAAACCTCACTCCAACAAAATAATAGCTTCTTTACATCAAAAATATATAGGACAAACTTGACAGTGACCTCCTTAAGCTCCTATGGAAATTGTGTTGGCTCTCATTTTTCTCTCAGGTGTCTGTTTTCAAGTACTCTGGTGTCCGGCAGACAGCATGAGGTGGAATGGTAGTGGCACTTAAAGTTTCAAAGGCTTTTGTAATCAGAGCCAACTGATTTGCCGAATTGCATCAAAGGTCAGAGACTGGCAGTAGCACTGCATGGAGCAAATGATCCCTTTAAACTCCTGATCGGACACGGGTCACGTCAGGAGGCAGCAGGGCTTTGGTCATGGAAGCAGCTGCCTGAGAGCAGCGCACACAACTGTGCTTTACATCTTTAGGATAGTTGTTCCATGGGGGAATCGCTGCTGCTTCCAGAGGAATCTTGGCACCCCGTGGGCAGCAGCTGCAGCCACAGCCTGGCTATCCTGGCCCTCGGGCTTCCACCTGCCGAATCCAGCCCTGAAAGGAGGCTGTAGCCAGGTGTAGCTCGCTGTTCTCCAGGCGAGCAGCGTCAGGACGAGGGGACAAGGCCTAAAGCTGTGCCAGGGGAGGGTTAGGCTGGACCCGTGCAGGGCCAGATGTTGGACTCGATGGTCCTTGTGGGCCGCTCCAACTCCCTAAATTCCGTGATTCTGTGAAATTAGGGGGAATTTCTCCACAGAAATGGTGATTACAATGGGCTGCCCGGGGAGGTGATGGAATCACCCTCGCTGGATGTGTTTAAGGAAAGACTGGACGTGGTTGGACACGACGATCTCTGCGGACTTTTCCAACCTAATCGATTCTGTGATTCTGTGAAACCGGGGAGTGTGCAGGGTCACCCGGCCGCAGCCCCGGCCGTCTCGCCGCCCCCGGCCCAGCCG